CAAATTGTTAACATTACTTGGAACCTAAATAAAAAATTCCAACTCGGTTGCACAGAGATTTAAACTGTTTCATTTATCTCTGAGTTTAGCAGCTAATTTGGGTTAGGGGCTATTACCACGAATAACTTCAATAATTATTGTTCAAGCTGGTAAACAACAGATAAGATGACTGTATGACAATATCTAACATCTGTATGTGATGAGACAATTAGTTACATCACAAATATCTGTTTTCACTCAAAAAAACACATTTTCCAGCTGAGTTCACTTTATAAATTAGCCTTTCTTCATCAAAGCTCCTGATAAATTTCTTTTGAACTTGAATGATCTAATTAATTGAGGCCAATCTCCAGATTTTCTTAATTTCTACCTAGTTGCTATACAAGTAAGTAAGTAAGTAAGTAAGGTTTATATATATCATTTATCAGACAAGTGTCACAGAGTGCTGTACAATATGGGGCATAAAATACAAAGCAGCACCAGATAGACAAGATAAATACAATCATAGCAGCCCTTGATATAACGGTCTAAAATGCTTGCTTAAAAAATTATTTTAGACGTTTTTTTCATATCATCCATGGAGTTCCCCAAGTGCAGGTAAAGTGGGAGTGCATTCCATTAGTTCAACTTTTTTATTTTCTTTAGTCCAACTGGTTTTAATATTCTTTTTGTTTCTGCATTTTTTATTTTATTTTATTTTTTTTCCTACTTGCTTTGATTCTGTTTTATTGTCCTATATTTTAATCATGTAAAGCACTTTGCATTGTCTTTGAACTGAATTGTGCTATACAAATAAATTTGCCTTGTCTTGCCTTCTACAGTCTGGGTTTGACAGCTTGGAAGGACCTATCACCTCTCGTCCTAAAACGGGTTTGAGGGACCATTAACAAGCTTTTTTCAGCAGATCTCAGACTGCAAGCAGAGAAGTGAGGCTGAATCAAGTTCCAGATGTAAAAAGGAGCCTGTCTATGCAGGGCTCTTAAGGTCAGGACCAGAATTTTAAAGCTTATGCAGTATTCAATCAGAAGCCAGTGTAGAGCTTGGAGGACTGGAGTTACGTAAGCTCTTCTGGTTGTACTTGTCAAAATCCTTGCAGCAGAATTTTGCACTAGCTGCAATCAAGCAAAACAAAACAATGTGTATATGTTTACAGCTAGCTAAACAGATTGATTTAATTTTGTTTTAACCTCCTCTACAGAGTTAAAAGAGGTCTAGTCAAAGTAACCAAACTTCATGGTAATGATGCTCATCCATCTGAATCTAAATCCCTCATTCAACACCATTTGTTGTAAAATTCTTCTTGATCATCTTCATTCCATTAGTATCACTTTACCTCTGGGTTAGTCTAAAATACTGAAAGTATTTTGAATTACTGTGTAGAGTACTCTGCTAAATGAATTATAAAAATAACAGTAATCCAACGATTTCATTTTTTCACGTAATTTTGTCTTTTTGTTACCCACCAGTACTGTTATGTTCTTTCACACCAGTGTTTATTATCCCATTGATTTCTCCGAAATCTCTTTGGCCTTGTTTAAACAATAAGTCTATCCATCTTTTTTTCACTTTTTGTTTTTTTTGCAAAGTTATCTGGCTGTATTTTTCTATCCATCTGTAAACAACCACAGTGTCTCCTTCTATACTTCTAAATGATATTGTTGCTCCAACTAGAGATTTGCAATGAAACATTCAGGTAGTACCATCACCTGCTGCTCATCTTTTGACTAGTGTTTGGATCTGAGAGCACAGCTGTATCAGACAGGAACTTGAGTCCTTTCTGTTGTGAAAGGATAGCTGAAGTTAGTGTTGGGTCTGCCAGCATTCCGAAGGCTGACAGCAACAGATAAACCTACTAAAAAGTAAAGTATGTGTAGCTTCAACAAATAATTGAAAGAAAAACACAAAGATTTAACCTGTCAGGAGTGACTCAACAACACCCTTTTATTTGGTTTATGCTGTGGGGAGTTTTGTTATGGGGGGCATAGAGGTGAGAATGATTTAATGAAGAATAAAAAAGATGTATGAGGACTGCTTAAATCACGTCATAGAAGAAAAAAATAGAAAAACTTTGTAGTTTTCTTCTTTATTTTTGCATTATTCTATCAGAATAAAATAACCTTTTTGCCCCTTTTTGAAACAGTGAAAATGTTTGCAATCATACTGCTAGCAACAGTACTCCTCTTCATGGATGTTAAAGAGGTTTGTGTATGAGGTGTTCACAAGTAAAACATGACATAAACACATCAGGAGAAGCATACCCCCCGATCAAGGGTAAATCCTTGCTGTGATTATCTTCACAGTTGGAGAAAGTTAAGAAAACTTTTAAAAAGCCCTAGAAATGCATTACCTCACACACTGCTGCTGCGTCTCACCATGACCAGTGGTACCTAAAGCAGCCATAAACCTTAACACCAGCACGTTTGCACAAATGTAGTGGAACAGGTCAACAACCTTCACAGCTTCATCTCTATCCAACCTTCCTCTCTGCTCACCTTTGCAGGATATTAGGATTTCTTGCCACTCTCCTGCTTTATAAATCCAACTATTTATCCAAATACATTTCATATAAGCAGCTTCTATTGAAGCATTTTCTTTTAGCTGATCAGGAAGGCCAGCTCTGTTATTGGATGCCCTCTGGACTCAGTGCAGGTGGTGGGAAACAAAAGGATCCTAACTAAATTAACATCTCTGTAGGATAATGTCTCCCACCCCATGCATGAAGCTGTTGCAAAGATGGAGATCTCCTTCAGCGACAGACTGCTGCACCTTAAATGCACCAGGTAAAGTGATCACAGATCCTTCTTAGCAACAGCTGCAAGACTCTATAACCATCACTGTTCCCATAAACCTCAATAATTGTTACATTCATTTGGATTTTGCAGTTTCTACCTTAGTTCTGCTGTCATTTTGCACATCTGTTTTGCTGCTTTTTTTAAATATCCATTATTGCAAACAGGTTCATAGCTGTATATTGGTTATTTTTTCTCTTGGTGCAAAATTTTATATTGCTAAAACATTTTACCGTACAGTATTTTATTGCTCATTTTTTAACTCTTCACTATTATGTTATTCTTATACATATTTCTAAGGTCCACATTTGCACGACCATTTTTTTCTATAATCTTTTTGCTGCTGTAAAAAGAATTTCCCCATTGTGGGACAATAAAAGGATTTTATATTATATTATATTTTATTACTCACTGTAAGATCTTTTCAAATTGCATATAAATTTGTATTTATCATGTATTGAATATGTTGTTTAACTGATGTTTATCAGTGGGTCTGATAAAGGTTGTTTGCATATTCTAAGATTTTTTATTATTATGTTTACTATGTTTAATTGGGAAAGAAACATTGCATTTATATGTTTGTTATTAATCCAATAGATACAGTCGTATATGTTTTCACATAGTGTGGTAACCTCACCAACCCTGTTAAAGCGAGGTGAGACATGCAGCTGAAGTCACATATAAGGAAACAGTACCTCCATGTTGCATGAGGAAGGAAACGATAACCTGCCTAGTCTCGCTCCTTCACTCTGCTCCCTCCTTTCCAAACTACCTCATCTTTCCATCCATCACTCATTCCTGCTTTCAGCAGGTTGTCTTAGAGCCAGCCAAGCAGAGGGACGTTTACCATGGTTACCACTCGTGCTCCTGGACCGGGCCAAATGTTGTAAAATTGAAGAACTGTGTCTCTTCCCTTCCAAGAGCAAGATTTAATGGAGGGCTTTCTGGCAGGGCTACATCATTTGAAATCAGCTATGGCAAGGAATAGACCCCGTGGGCCATCCCATGAAATATTAGCCCAGCTTTGTGTACAGTCTGAAAGGGGGAGTAAATTGACTTTAGCGGGACTTCCAAAGGGGAGAGAGTGGAGGAAACACAAGTTCAGTGGGAGTGGAGGAAAAACAAAACAGATGCAGTGAAGAGGGCTTTTAAAGGGAGTCTGAGACAGCTACACTAGACTCAAAGGAAACAAAAGAAAGCAGCCAAGACCAAAGATGTTGTTTTATCAAGTTCATTTAGTTGCCTGGTTCACATCCTCAATCCAAAATACACCATTACATCACACCGAGCATGGGAAACATGCTCACTGGAACACATACGGTCTCAGAGTGTCTCTCTTATCTGCACTGTCTGACTGCAAGGATATACATCATTAGTGGAACATCTCTCAATTACAACAACATATCCTCTGTATTTATACAAAGAAAAAAAGAAATAAGCAGAAATGTGTTCAATTTAGCGAAATTATAGTAGATACACAATTATGAGAGATAAATTAATTACAGTCCAAGCAAAAAAACTATGCTGAGCTCATTTTGCTGCATTTTTGCCAGTAATGTTCACAGGACAGTAGCCTATTCTTATGGTTAGCGAAGCTAACATGATTCTTATTTATTTATTTCCAGAACATTGAAACAATTAGCTCAACATAAAACCTCAACAACCTCAAACCCACACTATCATCTCCGGGAGACATCTATTGTCTCTCTCTCTGTGGATGAAAGAAGACCTTGAAAGCACATTCATTTTAATGTAGACGGTAAAGAGCGAAAGAAACCAAAATAAAAGCAAGGTTTTTTATGGTGGCCACAAGCATGTTTTATTCACAAAAGTGGATCTGTTATACAGACAAAACTGAGAGGAATAAACAACTTAAGGGTTTCCCTGGAGGTCTACAAGCATCTTGTCATGTCTTCCCCTTATGGTTGTCTCTAAAATTATAGCTTCTCTTTACAATTATATAAATATAACAAGTAATTCAAAACTCTGAGGCTGAGGTGATATGGAAAAATGCCAGCCAAAACAAAGAGCGGTGCAGCTCACAGCTGGGGGGCCTAATGTGGACTGAATTATGGTACAGACAACCAATCTAATTCAACACAAACAAGAGTAGCTGTCCTTATCTAAATCTACTTTCTCATTGGTGTGCACTGTGGAAAGTAAGGATGAGAAAGGCCACAGAAACTCCAGTGGGATTTGGGGGGGTTTGGACTTCTATTAGATCTTTCCAAAGCTGTTGGAATAACAGCGAACTGAACACTCCGGTTGTCCTACAGTAGTTCAGGTCCTTCTGGTTATAAAGAGCAAGAATGACAACAGATAATTTGGAAGGTGACATCTTTTTAAAAGATAACTTGTAAACATCATCTCACAATGTTTACCATTTGCCGTTAAAAAACAAAAAACAGGAGCAGTTTGCAAAATAAAACACAGAGGAAAATAATCATTCTTTCTCCATTTCATCTGTGACCTTAGGTAACTTTTTAGCTCAATGGCTTATCGGACTTTTCCACAGGGCCACGCTGCATGGCAGGGTTCAGGTCTGTGACGTATCAACGGTCTATCAGGTGGCCACCGAGCTAACGATCTGGACAACCTCGCCATTGTCTCCATGGATGGCACCCTGGATGGCTTCCTTCACTTCCATCTCAGCCTGTAAGGTTGGCGTCAGTTCGGAAGCCTGTGAAACAGAAGGAAAAAAATGAAACAGGAAGGATTGTTAATGTGGTAAACCTCGAACTCTTCCATCTAAAACATTATTTATGCCAGACCCTGCTTGAAATCAAAGGTGATTCTAAGTTCAGTAAAAGCTTTGCACCACCATTCCAGTTATCCAAAAAGAAATTTACAATCCTGGAAAACAGGGATTGCTGCAACTCGTAGAAATGTAACATCAAAACATACTACTGGGAGGATGTAGATAGATGTTTATGGAATTTTGTGGAGAAACTTGCTGCATTTTCTGGAAATGAGCTCATCTCAGATGAGCACAAAGACACATGTTTGTGTGGTAAACACATGTCCGGGTGTCAAAGCGGCTCATGTATCCGTTTTTCATTAACAGGAAAAGGTTTGAGACTTTCTACGTGCCAAAGATGGAAAATGTTTCTGGCCGCGAAAGATACAAAAGCCAGCTTTGGTGAATAATAAGGGGTGTATGTTTGCAATCAAGGTTTCTTTTTATGCACACTAAATAAAATCTAAGGTTTCTTTCTAAGAATGCAGACATAGTAAAACCTCAGAGGTATTGGCTTCCTGCAAATTTAGATGAACACAAACACATACACTATGTTGCCAAAGTCGTTTAATCATCTGTCTTCATAATAACTTGAGTGACATCCATGCTTGTTGGCCAAATATCCATATGATGTTGAGCCAACCCAGCTACAAGGTTTATTGAAAACTGGGACTTTTTTTCTGGGTTTCACCCTTTGATCTAATTCATCCTAAAGGAGTCATACCAGGCTGAAGTCAGGACTTTGTGTTGGCTTGTATCCATTTATTTTCTGGAGGTTGCTTTGTGCAAGTGGAAAAAATGTCTACCAAAAACTATGACTATGAAATTGTCTAAACTGAAATTGTAGGACTGGGCAAAACTCCTGAACCATAATCCCACCTGCACCAAACAATACAGTCAGACTATTATGGTCTTCTGGCAAATGCCAGAGCCAGATTGGCTGGTCAGACACAGAGGGATGGTTAGTCGCCCCAAACAGTCCGTCTCCAGTGCTCTGGAGTCCAAAAGAAGGCTGTTCTGTAAGAAATACATATGACTTCTCAGGAGGCATGTTTCTTCCAAACCCGTCTTCTGTTAAAAGTGCATGCTGCATCATAAAGTAGAGAATCAGATTGCAAACTCAATGAAAAATAAGCAGTTTGGAGCATATAGGACTGAAAATAGAGCCTTTTTTCTACAGAAATTGTGGGTGTCACCTTAAAAAAAAACCCAAAAGAAACCTTGGTTTTGCTTTCAAGCTTTTCATGTTCTGCTGGAATCAAAAAACAACTTTGGGAATATTCAGAAAATTATTGGGTTGGTCAATCAACACACAGAAAATTTTTTTTTGTTCTATTTATGCATAAAGTATTTGTTTATTTTATGCCCTTTATTATTATTTTTCATAACACCATCATAACATGTGACCTGGCAGTCATTAACCTCTTTTTTAGTAACAGATAATACACCATATGTAAGTGCTATGAAGTCACTTAAAAAACACTCTTCAGTGTGAATGTTGATACTAAGAGAAGACTCAATTTTCCCTTAGTATATATTTTAACATGGTAGTTTAGTGTTTTAAAGGACAGATGAGTAACAAACTGCTTTTAACGGAAATTGGTATTCTATAAAATTTTGAGAGAGGGCCAAAGACTTTAAGAGTGAGCCTCTCAAAATGCTTGATATGAAGATGTTGGGAGGCTGTTTTTTTCCACTGCTGATGGCACAAATTATACCTACCATGAACTTAAGTAGAAATTAAAGGCTTGAAATTAGAACTATTAACTTTGATCCTTTTTAGAACATTACAGAAGAAACAAACCTAATTCATGTATGGGAAAGGGCTTTTAAAGAATATTGCCATTTTATTTTGCTTTTTATTTTGCATTTATAACTAGCATGTAGAGCTTTCGCCTTCAAAGCTCTGCTTTCCAGTCCTGCATGTTACTTTATGTTCACTGTTGTGTGGAAAAAGAAATGGGTACCCACAGAAACTACTCTGAATCCGCTCTCACAAACTGTCACTAATCTCTAGAATTGTGAAAGGCATCGGTCCAGCAACAGTTCAGCCACTGCAGCATGTCATGGTTGGACATAATCACATCAAATGGGTGACAACCAAGAGGAAATGAACAAGAAAAAAAAAGAGAAAAGCAGCGTACAAAAAAGTCTTGGCGAAAAAAAGTTGAGCCAGAGTAATATGACAAAGCATTAAAATTAACCCTAAAGCTTATTTCTTAATTTAAGTCAGACAGCGTAAAGTAGGGTCTGGGAAACTGAAAACAAAAAGAATTCAACAAACGGTTCATGACTCAGTCCAGTATGATGACCATGTAGTGACTCACTTGTTCCTTGAAAGCAAGCCAACGGTTTCCTCAAAGACACCTGCGGCACCTAATCCTCCCCCTAGCCCAGCATGTTGTCCCTACGGAACAGCTATGACTGGAGCCCAGCTGTACTGTAGCAGAAAACTAAACACTATGACTCAGGAAACAGAAACTTCATTATCGGGAAAACAGATGCTGACCATCTTAGATAAAATGATGATTATTGTATGAGAAGCAAAATGAAATTAAAGCTGGACAATAAATGCCACAAATGAGATTGAGCTCTATAGCATTGGTGGGTGGCTTAGGTTTCAATAATTTATTAACATTATTTTGATTAAAGATTTCTGTGATTAGCAAACTTAGAGCTTAATGGGGAACAAATGTATCTTTAAAATACATCAGATTAACATTTTTGTGCATGCACTCTCAAAAATTATTCCATCCACTGAGGAATACCTAGAGCAGTGGTCTCCAACCCTGGTCCTCAAGATCTACTGTCCTACAGATTTTAGATGCATCCCTGCTTCAACACAGCTGATTCAAATGATTGATTACCTTTTCAAGCCATTCATTTGATTCAGCTGTGTTGAAGCAGGGATGCATCTAAAATCTGTAGGACAGTAGATCTTGAGGACCAGGGTTGGAGACCACTGACCTAGAGCATAAAGATAAACCATTGGAGCCTCTGGTCAGTACAGATCAACAAATTGTTCATGGTATTAACCTTTTAAAGCATAACACATAAAACATTTGTCAGAAAATGTAAATTTGTTTAAACTAGAGAGTTCATTGAACTTTATAACAAATAAAAAACTCATTAAATTGGAATTAAAAATTAAAAGGGATGTTATTTGTATCATTTTTAATACATTAGGCATTTCTGTGCTATTTATTATACATTTTCTTTTCTCACATCTGTTTGCATGAGTTTTATTTTTCAAGAACAAAAATATCTCCTTGATGATGATGTGATCTTAAAAACTCATATCAAAAATAATACACTTTGTGTTAAAGGGTTAATTTTTTAATATATCTTTTTAACATGGCAGATAAATTAGTAGGAACTGCCATCATATTTTTAAATGTATAGATTGTGGTTGAAAATGTGTGAGCTGATTGTGTTTGGCTGCCTTATTTGGACTTGGGGGAAAAAAGTGTCAATCACCAGAAGATGAAGTGCTTCTAACTAGAAAGTGCGGCCTATTTGCCATTATTTCTACATCTTTTTAGGGTTCTCCATTTTTTCCCTGGTGAAGCTTATAATAAACCATGAGTCAAAAACGAGCCAAATGAAATGCAGTAGAGGGCTCTTGGACTGCAAAAATATCTCTGTGTTATAGCCCCTTTTTTCATCTGTGTAATGGAAACAATTAAATAAAATAGAAAGGAAAATGCAGAGACAAACACATCAGAGTGAGTAATTTTTTAGTAAGTTGTATAAATGCAACCACATGTCTGGAAACTGATGAGAGCCTGCCTCTTGATTTATCATTGCTAACAAAGGGGTAACTAAGGAACAGATCTAACCTTTTTCTGAACTTTGACCAACAATGAGCCTATTTTAAGATATCAAACCCTAGATGTAATAGGAACACACCCTGTACAAGGCAGGAAGATCGACCCACCTTTAATGGGAACAAGTTTGTTTATCAAGTCCATCCAAAACTTTTAAGAGCTTACGCAAAAAGCCAGATTTTGATAACAGCCGTTATAGCTTTGGTCCTATTGCAGAAAGATTATATTTTTTTCAATACTCAATAAACATTGATTTAATGCAGCTTGGGGCTGAGTAAGTCATGTGCCTCCTGATAGATGTACTGTACAAAGCTTGATTAAACACACTGATGAATGATCAGTCCATCTTCACAGCTCTGCGCCAAATAAAACATTAGAAAAATAAAGATCTTAAAATGTAAACAAACTGTTTGATTGGAGACTTAGCCAAACTTCATGAGGCGGAGATGTTGGAACAGAGCACATAGTCTGTTTTCATTGTTCAGGGCCTTCATGCTCTACAAACTTTTTCACATTTTGTCATGGTATAACCACAAACTTTAGTGTATTTTATTAAAATATCGAGTAACAGACCAAAATAAAGTACACCATAATTGTGAATTCAAAGAAATGTTTTCTTTTTTTAAGATTTAAAATCCAATAAGTATGGTTTTCTATTCCTTTCAGCCTTTTGTAGTTATTACTCTGCAATTACAGCTGCATGTCATTTGGAGTGTGTCTCTACTAGCTTTACCAACCACAGACAGAAATCTTTGCCCATTCGTGTCTCCAAAATAGCTCAGGCTCAGTCACTTTGCATCTGTGGAGATTATTTCCCAAGAAATGCAAATGATTTCTAATAGGATTCAGGTCTCGCTTTTGACCGAGGTGTTCCAAAACACGAACATGCTTTAAAGTGGATCCGTCTGTACTGTTCCTTGTTCCTACTAGAAGGTAAATATGAAATATTTTAGAGCTTATTTTGATATTTTAGAACAGGTTTTCTTCTAGGAGTGTCCAGGAGATAGTTCAGCACACCTTCCATTACCATTGTGTACTATGGGGAAGCTGTGCTCAGGCAGATGTGCAGTTTTATTTTTAACTTGTATGCAAAGTTTATTTTCTTCCTTGCCATGT